GAAACCAACTGTTTTGTTACAGCCAAATGCATCAGCAAACAAATACAAGGTTCAGTTGTTTACTAGGAGTACTTCATTTTCTTAAGTACTATCCCAAGGTTTTGCCAAATTTTGGTGTTTGGTTTTTTTTTTCCCCCTGAAGGGATGGTAAAGGAGTTTTACACTAAAACTTACATTAGCTAAGCAGAAGGGATGTATCCTTTGGCCAGCTAAAATCACATCTACCATCAACTTTACCATGTTTCCACAAAATTATGCCTTGTTCTGCTGACATTAAAGCATATTACAGTGAATGGGCTCTCCAAACAAAGCCATCTGAAATACAAACATTTTATTTAGGACTGTTCCTGGGGCTGGCAAAGCTCCAGTCTGTTTGAAGGGTCTTCTGTCTGCCCACTGAGCTTAGATTTTTGTTTTCTGTTGCAATTTTCATGGTATCATAAGCAGTGCTCTAATACATGCTAGTCAGAGGCTAGGCACTTGCAGGTAGACTAAACCCTGACAAGTCTCACTGTAATGTATATTTTAAAAAAACCTAATGCATATCTAATTCATCTAATTCTAATTAATTCTCAAGTTCCAGTCATATATGTTACTGACACAAATTGTTAGTCTAGTTAGAACCCTACCTTTCAACAGAGTACCAAAATAAAGTCAAAAGAAAATGTAAAGAACATTAAAAAATTACTCTGGATTCAGAGACTATGAAGATAAATTATATTTTCTTGCCTTCTGTTTTTTAAAGCAGCACTCAATTTGGGAGTATGAAAACCAAAAAAAAAAAAAAAGAAAAAAAAAGAGCAGTTCTCTTAGACGTTCAAATAAATCTGTGCTGCAAACAACCAGTGTGACAATTTTTGGGACCCATTTTCAGTCACTTGGAATACTACTTTGACTACACAAAGTCTGAGTGTATGCAGCATGGCTATGTTTTTCATTAGTTAACATCATTAAGGAGAAAAGGAGCAGTGCCTGGGTTGCTGTCCTTGGCAAAGGACCATCAACAACAAAGCAGCTCTTACGCAGCAGAATAATGACTTCCTGCAGACCAGGCAATGCCTCCTTACTCACAGCCTGGCTCAAGGGAGCTAAGCAAGCAGCCTCTAGGTGACGAACTCTCATTGTCTGAGCAAGGGTTTTGAGAACAAGTGAGAGAATCACACAGCAGATGGATATGAAGGCATGAAAGGATTAGGTGTCCACGCTCCCACTCACAGAGGCACCTTCTGATACGCAGATGGTGAGACCAGAAGAAGGGAACCAAGAACATGGGGGGATTCATGCACGACAGTAATGAAAAGCTGAGGTGGACAGCCAGATGTTTGTGTGCCTTATTTTGGATGGGTCTGTGTTTTCCCTTCCAGAAGTAAAATGTGATTGTTTTAGAAAACCTGCAAAAATATGCGTTTTAATGGCTTACACTAATTATTTTTAGTACAAGTGTTAAACTGGAAAGGAAAGTGTTCTGGGATATGGCTCCTCGGGGGTTGGAAAAGTGGTCTCAAACAAAGGGAAAGCATGCCCTATTTCTAATGAATGAGTGAAGAACTGCCCTGTCTGGAACCAAAAGTGCTACTCCAGAGGACAAAGAAACTATGCCTAGAATCTACTTAGTCAAGATGACTTGAGAGGTACAGACCTCAGCAAGTTGCCCAAACACATTATCTTATGGGTGTCCAACAAGGAGACATTGTACGAAGCTTTGTAAGAAATGGAAATGTACTATACACAAATTGAAAACTTGAAATTAATAATATATAATTTTATTATAACATACTTAGAAATTAAGAAGATACATATATGAGAGGAAAAACCGTGGAGTGTTAATAATGGCATCCAGAGATACACCTAAACAAAATGCATTAGGATAATGTGTACTAAATCTGGAAAATTGGGAAATTGAAGGAAGGTTCTCCAGTTCCTCACAAGATCTATATAGACACTGCTGTAAAGAAATTTCTGAGCATTGAGATTCTATGTTGAGCTGAATCTTTTAACTTTTAAAACATGCAAACTTTTGCATCTCAGGAGACATGCTTTAGAGAAGTTAAAATACCAAAATTTTCATTGGCTGATTGATGAGTTCACTGCTTTTGGAAGAAGCAGAGACTAACTTTTTGGCCCAATTTTCTACAAACGTTCCATGTCTCAAATGCTGACCTGTGTATTTGCTCTCTGCTAAATGTTAATGTAGATCTCTGCATTGGACTACTCTCAGACTACGACAGAAGACAAAAACCAGCTTCCACAGAACAGCTATCTCCACTAGGGGTCATGCCTTGAGAGACTAAATCGACAGATTTTGTTCAGTGTCAAGATTACCTTGGTGCAGGAATATACCAGGAGACTACAACCTGCAAAAGTTAATGCCACTCTTTTAGAGAAAGATAACAGGAAATAAGACAGTCTAAAGAAAAAGGTACAGCTCCCAGAAGGGTTTTAAATCCTTCATTGAACCCAAGTGATGTTTATGCAGTGTATCGTTTTCCAAACAATTTTAACCATTCCCATTGGTTCTGATTCCCACATCTTACAGGAACTTGTCAGAATTTTCACATGTGCATATAACCAAAATGTATCTTCATAATTCACTTGATTAGAGGCTCAACTCTAATGTATAAGGTGAACCAACTTTACAAAAAATTATGCTGAGAATGCTTTACAGCCTTTTATACAGCAAGAAACTGCTTCTGACATCAGAGAACTGATTGACATATTCTAAATACACACTAGAAATAAAACTCAGGATTATTCGAGCACTGCTCTAGAGCAGAGCTGAAGAGCACAAACATCATCATAGGTAGTCTGAACTGCGTATGTTTGTACTTTTCTAGTCTGACCAAACTCTTTCTTGCACAGCAGAGAATTACAACATTAACTCATGTAGAATTAAGCAAAAACATAAAGGGAGGGAGAGAGGGGAGAGAAAAAAAACCAACCCCACAACCTGGGAATGCAGTCCTCTCAGATACTTCTGGCTCACTATCTATCGTGCAGTAAGATGTGCAGACACGCAGCAGCTAAACAGAGAACCACCTCCACTAATTGTGCTATCTTATTAAAGGAAAAAAATAAGACATAAAAAGAGGAGCTGGGGAGGGGTGGGAGAGCACAGTTCACGCTCCATCTGAGCGATAAATCATGAGAAAGTGACAGGAACTCACAGCTGCCTGTGGTGTTTCCTCCTGTGTTTTTCCTCAGAAGAAATACTGCGTGTTAGTTAAAAACAAAAAAACACATCACCTCCCAAAATCAAAAAAAGCCCCCACCTACCTCAACAGCCCCTGAGGAATGCCAGCCTCTGCTTCCCCTACAGGGATTTGTAAGTCACGCAGTCCAATCAATAAACCAGATCATAAAATGATTAGCAGCAGCATTAGTTAATTTATTCACTGAAAAATAACTCAAGCTGTGTCTCAGGTCTCATAAATAAAGAAAATGTTTATAATTGAGTTACAGGTGGGTGACTGACGGCTGCACAGGATTGTGGGAAAAGCACTGACTTCAAGGGTCAGAAATCGCATTTTTATAATACAGCTACAGATTTTTCTTCTGAAATTAAATTCTTCTGAGACTTTTCTTTGTGGAGTCAGCAAAAACTATTTTAAGTGCAGTTCATCAATGTCCACAAACCTGGCTGCCTCTTCTGCTGCTCGCATGGGTGAACTTGGGAGAAGTGAAAGAAAGAGGTGTGATACGAAACGGTCGAATGACTAAAGCAGAAACAAGCACTGGCTCCACAGCTCTCTGTATTGCTGGAAAGGATAACTCCTGTCGTTCTTCTGCCTCCTCACTGGGGGAAAGAGGGTGTGTGTAGGTTTTCCAAGGTAAAAGGCAGAGAAGGAGCAGATGCCCTGGAGAATACAACCTCCTCTCGGTTCAAAGGCTAGCATTTGGAAACATGGCATCATTATCTGAGCCCCCTGTGATTTTAAGGCCCCCTCGTCAAAGGGCACACACTTCATGCACAGATACTATGTGAAAGCTTAAATTTCAAGTGGGTGCTGATGGGAAATAAGTGGGAGCAATTAGTCTTTGGTAAGCACAGGAACATCATACAGCATTGGAAAGGGACTCGGCTCTTGTCTTCATCCTGTGTTCTCCACTAAAGGGAAAGGCAAAGAATAAACAACCGTCTGTCATGTTTGCTCAGCTGCTTCAGTCACCAACGTTCAAAATTGAACTATGAGGAATTTTGCTGCTTCATTCACCCTTCTTGTTTGAATAAAAAGGCTTTGGTCAGTGCTAAGTCACCACAGCTAAGGCTGCTTTTGGAACCTGGCATGCAATGCAGACTAGAAGGACTATTACAGCCACTACCCAAGGAACAGCCGCTTTGCTGCTATTATGTGTTTGCTTGAATTTGCTTTGTTTTTCTGGTGCTATCTTTAAATGCTGTGGTTCTGTGGGCTTCAAAAGGGTGAGACAGTAAATCCCCGAAACCCTCTGCAAACAGAAGCCTGGCAGCATTTTCTTAACAGATGTTAAGAATTATAGCAGGTTGCACTGCTATTTTGTCTGGTTATTTGCCAAAGTAAGCCCAAAGCATCCCCACCAATAAGCTGGCATTTAGAAAAGCACTCCAAAACACAGTCACAGCTGGATGATCTATTCACCAATATTCCTCCTTCCACTCCCCACCCATCAGTGGGATTTGCTGCAAAATTATTAACTGCCTTACCACCATCTGCGCTCAGGTTCCATTAGTAACCCAGGCATTTCAGGAAATCCCAGCCCTGCTGAAGCTAAGTCCAATTACTGCTTGCTGATTCATCAGTCCAGCTAAGCAAGCCTGGAAAATGTAATAGGTAACCAAACACTCTCGGAACAAATTAACCTCTACAAAAACCAGGCACGTCACACCTCAGGAACAAATCAAACCCTCCATAAACAGGTACTTCATGTCCTGTCCTGCTTGTGTTAACTACTGACAAATACAGGGAAAAGCTTAGGTCAGGCCACAGTTGTTTTACACAGTTCGCTGAACAACAGGCCCTTACCTTGCTTGCTGGCAGACACTGCAAATCCAAGCCTTCTCCTTCTTCTGGTAAGAACTGCAGCTCTTGCAGATGTTGTACTTGCAGTCTTGGCACTGTCGCTTGCTGTTGATAAGAAATGTGAAAGGGGAACAGCAGCGAATACAGCAGTGCTCGTTGAACTTCTGCTGCTTGGAAAGGATGCTGCACTTGTTGCCCTCTTCATCCAATTTCTGCTTCATTTCACTGGAATGAAAAGCAAAAGAATAAAAATACAAACAAAATTTCAATAGGAAAGCTCCTCTTCCCACATCTTCATGTTATACTCTTCAAGTAAGTTTTGCAGGTGTGAAATAAACATCAGAAATGCATATTCTAAATCCAGAACTGGGAAGCAAAAGCTCCTATATTCCCTGGAGTCACCTGTAGCCAATCCATTTGAACTCTCTGAGTCACGAACCAGGGCAAACAATCTCCCTTCACTCAACTCCAGCGAGACAACCATCAGGAGAGCCAGGCTGCTGCTCCAGGTACTCCACCTGTGCAAAGCCATAGCATCATTTGGGAATTTGGGGCTGCTTTTAGAACACTTTACAAATCAAAAATTAGTCTAAGAAAGTCAAATGGCTTGGTGCACAGTCATAAAAAATTCTACTGATCAACAGTTTTGAAAACAAAAGAAGTTTGCTTTGTCCTGACCCATAGGGTTACACTCTTCATAATTGCTCCAATTTGTCAAGGAAGGTTAATCACATACTTCATTTCAGAGAGATTTGGGTGTTTTACTAGTTAGGACCAATACTGAGCCAACAGTTTGTGAAAGTGTTTGCAGACCCCCCCCCAATTTTTCTGTATTCCAGCAGAAGAGCTCATTTATTAAAAAAATAAAATAAGTTGTGTGCATGTGTGGTATTCAGTAATTTGCTATCTCTCATTTTACAGTGCTTTTGGTATTTTACTAATTAGGCAATATATTCCATGATATGACTAATAAAAGACATCCAGAAGGAACAGTTGTGTAAGTAGATAAGCCTGCAAACTCATCACACAGTTTCTAGCATGTGTAACTAGGATATACATTAAGCAAAAAAAAAATAAATTCATGAAAAACACATTAAATAAAAGCTTATAGAACAGTGAGCATGTACATATATTCATACCTTCTGTTTCTCAGAATTAGTGGTGGCTACCTTACTATATCCAATTACTGATAAGAACCAGTTATAAGACTAGAGTAATACAAAAGTGAACAAAATGTAAAGGTACCACAAGAGAGAGACTAAGTTGCAGGACGACAGTCATGACATGCTGACTTACGCTTAAATTAATACTTAAATATCTTGCTACAGGAAAAAAAAGAATACAGTTATTGCATACTTATTCAGGAACTTGACCAAGATCATCTATTAGCATCATTATGAGCAAAGCCTGGAAGACTCGCATTACTGGGATATACATCTTATTTGCCATTTCTGCCTCGGATTCATGACTCAAAATAAAAACTGCCTATTTTATGAAAGTCTGGCAGGTCAATTCTGAAACTCAAGTCTAACAGGCAATTAAGGCAGTGATCTACAGCATATAATTTCTGAACTTGCACATACATCTTATTTAACCATATTCCAGATAACACACCTTTTATAAATTTAAAACTTCTAAACAATGTATGTTTCTGCTCTTTGTCCCTTGCACAAATATTTGGCTATCTTAGACCAGCTGCTTGAACCTAAGTAAATACTCTCTGGAGTTTCAAGTAAATAATCTATCTTTATGATTTTTGTCCAGATGGCAAAACTTAATTGTTTTTCCATATTTTTACAGAATGTTAAAGGTGAAAAAGGTAAGAGATTATCATGTAACAGGAAATGTCTGAATTATGCAAGTCAAACTGGCTTCCTCATGTAAACTTACAGAACTACCCCACAGATTAAATGGGGTGGTTAGATTAGTTTGTCTTATCCCCATTCCCCCCTCCTACCATGGTACCACATGGACAATCTTTTTAAGGGAACAGGAGAAGTAAGCTCTTCCCCATGTCACTCCTCCATCCACAGCACGCATCCTGCTCTGCAGCAATGGAGTGAGACAGAGCAATGCTTCTGCACAGGAGGTCAGGCAGGAACCCCGGGTCCCAGGAGAGAAGCTGGTGAAGGTGAGGTCTATACCATACAAGGAAGATTTCACTCCAAGGAGAAGAAGCATCAGCAGCCCAAGATGCTGCAATCTTTACTTCGGGCTGGAGACCCCAGGCAGCAGATGCCGGCCTCCCCGTAAGATGAGAACAGCTAAGCAGACGAGGTCAGGAAGAGCAGTGAAAGAAGAGATTTTTGTCCTCATGCAGCTCTATTATCTGCCAGAATTAGTAACACTGATATTTGGTAGTATCAGCCTGCACACTCAACACTGGCATGCTCAATGGCATTTTGAACCCTCATTAGGGCTCTTATGCATGATAGCAAGATAAACCACAGAAGCAAAGGCACTTATTAAAGCACTACAATAATGCTCGCACAATATAAAAACAGGCAGTTTTGTTCACAACAGAGCTAATAAAGCCTGATACTTAGAAAAAGCTGAGCACACACTGAAGCCTTTTCATCAGTACAGGCATTAATTACATCTCTCTCCTCTATCTGGCTGCCAACGTTCATTACAGTGGTAGAACCTTAATATCATTAAGGCATCTGCCTCACTGTTAAATAAGACTACAATTGGCCAACAGATTCAAAAAGTCAATAGGATAGGGTTGGACAGGCTGGCAGAGAGAAAGCATGACAGAAAAAGCCTCATTTTCTTGGGAAACTGGGCAGAACAGAAGAGAAAGCAATGCACATCCCTTGACGGCTGTAACAAATTAAGGCCCTCACGCACTACCTGCCAAAGGCTATTCTAGTTTCTATCAGGAGTCAGATGGCAAAAGGGACTGTCAACAGGACTTGGCAGCTGAAGCCAAAAGG